AAAGGGAGGGGGTGGGGAGGCATCCTGCTGGACTCACAGGGCCCCGGGTGCAGCGAAGAGGTGCTCTATCCAGGAAAGGGGCCCAGAGGCAGCCTCCATTCCTAACACCCAGGGGCCCCATATCCTGATGTCGACTTTGGGAACAATGTAGACATCACTCCCCAGAGATGCCCAGGTGAAGGGATCATTCGACTTGGGCTTGGGGTGTTACGAGGCCTCTTGATCTCCAAAGGCAGTGGAAATGGGGGGGCCGGGCAGAAGAGGTTCCTCAAAAACCAAGCTACCTTGTGGCTGCCTGCTGTGGCTGGGAACCCTCCTCTGGGGCAACACGTCACCCACAAGATTCCTGGACACCATTTCAGTGCAGGCATAGATGGCCTCAGTCTATTGAGAGCGGTCCCTTACAATGAGCTAGCGAATTTCTGTGCCCCAGGCCTGGGTGACTGGCAGTGCTGACCCTGGCATTAGTGAGCCAACCCTCTACGAGTGGGTCTGAGGGCCGGGGGCCGAGTCTGCCCAGCACGGAGGGTCTGGAGCTTGGCCGACCCGCTCCCTGGTCTAACCTTGAGGTGTAGGGGGACACAACTCTGGTTGACCGTTTCTGAGGGAAATGGAGGCATGGTCTGGAGTACGGGTGCAGGGGGTCGTGTGACCTTTGTGCCCCATCACTGCCTGGTGGTATCACTGAGACCTTGATGTGTGAGAGCCGGGGAAGTTGATCTGGAAACCTGAAACATTGGAACGATCGTGGAGACCTTCAAAGGCCATTGCTGTGGTGGGTCACCAGGGTCCCTATACCTCGTACCTGCAAGCCCACCCCTTGGAGACACTCGAGACCTTGGGGGCCTGTGGGGAGCAGTGACTACTTCCTAGAAGGGACTGCCAAGGACCCCACGGTCCTGTGATGTTCACGGGGCTTCATACAACGCGCTTACTGCAGACCGACAACCACTTTCTCAATCCGGTTATTACTGAGCTGTTCCTAAGGAACTCTGCCCATCCTGCCTGTGGAGGGCATGCTACCCATCAACAGCTAACTACAGTGGCAGCTGACGGCTGCTTCCCTTTACTGGGCTCTGATTAAACAGGCGAGGCATCGCTGGCTTCCCTTTGGACGGGGCCCACAGCTCTGCACCCCGGGCCAGTGTGCTCTCCTTGCTGGGGAGGGAGGCCCGGCTGGCGTGAGGGGCAGAGACAGGGCCTGGGCGGCCTCGCGGGACTGAGACTCCAGCTCGACACCAGCCAGTTTTAGAAGACTCTGCCACAGCGCCCGCATCCCGCCCTTTCGGGAAGACACAGGGCCTGTGGAAGATGCAGGGTGGCACGGGCATGCTCCCCAAGCCTTGAGGGCCACCCTGCCCTTGTGGGGGAAGCTCATAGACTAGAAAGTCAAGAACATTTTACATGAATGTGTGTGTGCCTGTGCGCGCCAGGAGAAAGAATCTTGGGCATCCACGGGGGCAGTTGGTGGCCAAGTCGGAATCCACTGGATGGGGTGTGTGTGTGTGCGCGCGCGCACAGGACAGTGGGACAGAGGGTGCGGGCATGTCTCCTTGGTGCTCTTATTCTCACCCAGCATGCGACCAGCACGGGCGTTCAGCTCCCAGGCAGGCCTTGGGGTGGGTGCCAGTCTCAGCAGGTGGCATGAGCACGTGGCAGCCCACGGCAGAGGGACGGCGAGAGTCACAGAGGGGCTTCTCCGGGCTGGTGGGAAGATGGAATGGAAAGGTGACAGAGGGCCGATTCCTGGGGAGGTCACTCCAAGGGGTGCCCTGCGGTGCTGGGGCTTAGGCCCCCCCTCCCATGGAGACATGTTCCTAAGCAAGGGGCTGCATCGGGGGCTGCCTGAGATGCTCCCATGGGCTCCTCTACCCACTCTACCCATCATCCACCCGGCACCCCCCAGACAGACTCATGAACACACCCGAGAGGCAGGAGTGTGTGGAAGGCATGGATGGACTTTATTGATTACCCTCTATCTACAGTTTAATTTGAGGTAAAATATAAGCAACACATAAAAAGGCCTATTTCTGCTACCAGGTCATAGAGTTCTCCGTTGTGAATATGGTGATAAAGCGAATGAAGCCGCGCCGCCCTCAGACCCGAGCTTGCGTACAGCTGGGTGCGCGCTCCCCCATGGCCGTCCGACCCCACTCGTGCCCGCGCCCCCCGCGCACCGGGACACGCGGACGAGCAGCGCCGGGCCTCGCCCAGGCCGCCACGCCGCCGGGCAGGACGCGCGGACTCTGCACCTGGCGGC